CCCAGATGTAACGCTAAGAATACTTACCCATCCACTGACATACCCTGCATAAGCACGTTTCACTACTTTAACATTGTGCAGTCATAGCCGATTATATCTTGCTAGCATATTATATTTTGATTTTATTACCTAATAAGCATAGAAGAATGTAATGGATCACCTGGCACCCCGACTGGGTACCTCCATGGATGGATGCTCCTAGCGCTTCTTGAGGATTCCAAGCACTCTAGCCGCCACCACAACCACCGCTGGCCAAACCTCTCTTCCTTCAGAGCGAAGCAGGAACGAGCTCTTAAAAGAGCTTAGGAGTAATTATAGCAAGGGAATATGCAGAGCATAGCAATTCCTTGTAGCAGATTCCTCCAAAAAGAGACAGGACTCTAAATTGAGGGTTACGTAGAACTGTCTAAAATTTTATTTTACTTGGGACTAGCCCATATGGTCATTACATTAACATTGCTGTGAAAACTCAATAAAATTACAAACAGTCAAATCATAGCAGGCAACATACAGTGACTTATTATAACATAATTACATATTTATAAATGGGTGGGGAAGACCATAATTAACACAAAATGTCTCTTCTGAATGCAGAATTACCGATATGCAAATCTACCGAATATGCAAATTACCAGTCTTGCTATTCAGGTAGTGCATATTTCTGTTGCTACCAACAGAGGGCACTACACAAGCTCCATAGCCAAATCCACCTAGTTGGTAGCAATCCTCAGCAGTACAGGAGAGCAGGCAATACATCCCACGGGCCATAGTCACATGGCAGGAGGCTGGCAATCAGTCTTCTCCAATGCCCAGTGGCGAGGCTGGTTCTGCCACAAAGACCTAGCATGTTCTTTACATTTGTTAGCAATGTTATGCCTAGTGATTTACTTTTTTATTTTATTTTTTAAAAATGTTACTATTTTTAACTCACACAAATACGATATGCCTCAGTTAATTAGGCTGGTGACACTAACACCTCACAATAAGTCAGTCTGTTAACCTGAATCAGTACCTCGTCTGCCTTACCTTACAACTGACGTGTTGTTTTAACCATTGTTGAAATTACTTTATAATACAAAATGTGCAGTGTTCAGATATGCCAAACAATTGTCTTTTAATGTTGACATAAAAACTGGCAATAGCTGTTGTGGCATTGCTTGCCTCTTTGTATTTTTCGTGCACGACAAAATAAAGAATTTAAATATATATATATATATATATATTGATCCATCCACATTAAACAGCAAAAACAGATGTGAGAAAGGCTGAACTGGATGGCCGCAAGCCTCTTTTCAGGCCAATAAAGTGGGATAGTATATTAGCTGGAGATGGGGAATATAGTCATACTCCAATGTTATAAGAGAGTCTTGCTTCCAACATGGAGTGGATATTGCAGGGAGAATAAATATAGCAATGGTACAATATCTCTAGATTAATAGACAAGTAATACACTGTCCCACCTAACCAGTAAAAGATATCAACCAGATAGTCAGACCATGAAGTAAATAATTAAATAGTCCTGGAGCTGCCAATATGAGAATAAAGGCCAAAATGGGAGAGCTGAGCAAGAGCATCATAGAAGAAAAATAGATTCCAGGACATTACTCAACTGAAAATCAGTCAGTACATCTTGGTTCCAAATCTGGGTAGTGGTACCCAATCCACTGTATGATGGACATTCTAAGTTTTCTGTAACCCGCTACAAGAAAATTAGAAGGCAGTGGCTTGGTAAAAAGACCTACGCCGCAGAACACAGACTTCTCGGGTGATGAACAACCATACAAGGTCCATAGTGTCTGTTGAGGTTTCAACTCTGATGGACATTTTTGTTTTATTTATACAAAGTCCCTTGGCTCATCCAGCTTGACACATATACAGGCCCTACACAGATCTAAAGAGTCACTTTGGGCAACACTAGAAATGTAAGTGATGTGGAGGACATTTGTGGATCCCCAGTGAAGTGTGGCAGCAAGTGTTCAAGCCAATTAGATGAGGTCTGTTGACCAGTCCTCCAAATGCTCCAGCATTGAGCAAGGGCCATGGAAACCAGACAGAATTCAATTTGCCCCACCTTAGGAGAGATCTACATTGTTCTTTTCCCCCCGTTATATACAGTATCTTTTGTATTTTCCACATAGTTATTGCATGTTTTGTCATTTGAGGATGGAGGGTGAGAGTGTTTTGTAGCTCCTAACCTTCCAAATTATCCAGTGGATTGTTTTGTTGAGATGTAATATCAGCCTTGAATAGTCTCAACATTCATGAATCAAATGATAGGATTGAGGTGCAGATTAGATAGAGAGTCCTTGTATTAGGCTGAGCTCTGTTGAAGCACATGGAATTCCTTTAAATGCGTTTTTCTTTAGGGACATATTTTGCTTATCTAGTTTTGTAAATTTTTCAGTTCTACCTACAGTTAAAAAAAAAAAAAATTCAAATCTGCAAATAAAGTTGAATCTAAAAAAAACACAATTCAGATACTCATTAACATAACTACTAATTTCACCAGGAGACTTTTTTTTTGTGTTCTTTCAACAACCACCCAAGAACAAAAATAAGCTAACAGATGCCTTCTGGGCACAAAGACAATTTATTCTTTAAAGTATTACCCGTATCATCTTAACTTTAACAAATACTGTCATGCTTCGTTATATTACATATCTATCTAAATATATATCATACACCAAATGTCTATACATCTAAATGTATCTCAATATTTACGTACAATGGTTTAGTCAAGATATGCATTCTGTGTGGATCTTTCTGCTGCTAACTTTGTCTATAATGTTAAGTGTTTATATTTCACTCTATGCAAAGAATTGTCTTCTGTTAAGAATTGTTTATAAAACACAGCAATATGTTAGACCCTTCTTGTGATATCCCAAATAAAACCATATCATTTCAAAAACTTTGTCACCCCCTAATATTACTCTAAAAAAATCAATACATGAGTAAAAGTAAAATGAAATTGTTTATATCATTTTAATTGTGTAGGTGTTTATGAACGGCAAGTGTAATTAGATTGTACTTATATGTTAGTTACCCATCACGTGTCCCAAATAAAATGCATGCATTTTTTTTCTTTTCATAGTAAGATATAAGTAAATTTTCTGACACAATAATTAAATATTTGATAATATAGCAAATGGCCTTTAACAGAACATATAGCTGGATTATGCAAGAACTAATTGCATCTTCAAAAATCGATGTGTAGATTATAAAAATTTATTATTTAAGTCTAAAATAAACGATGTGTGTACAACACCAACATTATGTGTAAAAATACCAGATTAATGTATTTTTGCTCTGACAGAGCTGTTACACACAATGGGGTTTCAATCCTACCAATTTTATAGATGTATGTTCGAGGGAACTACTTAGTAAAGAGAGGGTGGGACCTTCATCTGGTCAAAGTACAGACCTGTGAACTCTCCCTGACATTGTGAGCCAACATTGAAAACAAGATACGGTACTTTACAGACAGTTCCATGCAAAGACTCCAAACAAGAGACAGACAGCAATATGCCCTGCCACACTCAGACATAGGAAATTCTACCAAATTCCACTGTCATATTGACATACAAACTCATTCAACACACACTGACACATGGGTAGGATAGACAGTGGGAGGGGATAATGTAGGCAAATAAACATCACACCTATAATCTCAATAAAACAAAATATACAAACCAGCAGCAAATCCACAAATATTACATAATTACATTTAAATAAAAACAAACTATGTATAACAATGGTATGTGTGTAGGATATGTCTGTGTCTGTGCACTAAAAGGAACCAGCACTCAGGGATGTATTCTCTACACTGGGAAATAAGGGGAATTGGGAATGGAAGTGCCCAAGTAAGGCCAAAACAGGAGAATTTATTTTTAATTCAATACCTACTGTTAGTGTAGAAAGCCAGAGGTGATGTGTGTGTGTGTGTGTGTGTATGTACACAAACTTCTGTTTGTGTGAGTTGAAACATAGTCTAAAATGTGAGTTTTGAATAGATCAGTATTTTAAATTGATTTAAAGGTGTTACAGATGTATCTTATGTGTATGGTAAATACAGGATATTCAATTAGAATTAATTAAAACAAAAAAATGTACCCAAGTAATAAATAGGCACAACAAATTGATTTGGAACAAAGTTACAAAGTGAATTATTAAAGCCAATTTATTAGTCCCTGCATATGCTTCCAGTTAGATATAGGGCTCAATTTAGAATTCTGGTGCTTGCTTACAAGTCCCTACATAATGCTGCTCCAAACTACCTATCCTCCCTAATACAAAAATATGTCCCATCGAGGCTCCTTCGCTCTGCCAAAGACCTACGTATATCCTCTGTCCGTACGCCCACCTCTAATGGTCAAGATTTCTCCAGGGCTGCACCTCTTCTGTGGAACTCCCTTCCCTTTTCCGTAAGACTTTCACCCAGTCTCCACTCATTCAAAAAATCTTTGAAAACTCACTTCTTCAAGAAAGCATATCAGTTAAACTGTTAGCGGGTTTTTATCCCCCACACCCAATTACTCCTCTCCTGCAACTATCAAAAATTACCTACTAAGCCCTCAATGAATACTTTTCTAACAACCTACTTCATACCCCTACTTTTACCCTTTGTGTCACTATACCCCACTCCCTCTAGAATGTAAGCAGGGCCCTCCACCTCTCTGTTCCTGTAAGTCCAGTTGTCTGGTTACAATTAAATGTCTGTTCGTCCACCTATTGTAGCTACAGAATCTGATGGCGCTATATAAATAATAAAATAATAATTAGAACATATTTGGATGCTGTAACCATTAAGAGATCTGCAGCGTTCATCAAAATGTGGCCAGCTGTGTTATTCTAATTTTTCTAGGGGGGAGGCTGTCAGCAAAATCCCTGTTTGGTGATAAAACACACAAAGATCTGGTTGCATCAAAGTAAAGAATGATCTTATTAGAGAGATATTATTAAAACTATATGGTAGGTAAGGATGCACAGACACCCAGCACACAGAGATACACTGACACACAGGGGGATCTTTTTTTCCAAATGCATACCCCTTGTATGCAGAGCAGGGCTCATTGAAGGTGCTGTCTTGACACACAGAATTTAATGTTACACTAGCAATAAGGGGTTAAATCTTGTGGAGGACCACTGACGGAGGTTTAAAGGTATTATCACACAGGGACAAATGCCCTTTCTCCTTTCAATATAACAATATTTGCTGTCTCTCCTTACTAGTTTTTCGGAGCATTGTACCAGCCTGCTAACCCTTCTGCTCTGAGCAGTGTAATTATTTGTTTAAAATAAATGCCTTCTCCAAATTAGAGCACTATTTCAGCTAATTAAAATACCTTGCTGTCTCCTTCCCTTCTGTTTATATTAATTATTCTGTTCGAGAATGGACCAGCTGATGCTAGCCACACGCACACAATGACTGGTTGATCATGACTCCGACTTGTGACATCATACTGCCAAGGAGGCTTCTTGACGTCACGCTCAGTGTTGCGTCATAGTGCTGTGTGAAATTGCAAAATGTGAGCTGTGCATTGTTACCATTTAGTTTTATTTTAGATATCCTAAAGAAAGTACAGAATAGCTTGACACGTTTGGACTGGCGGATGGATAGTTACATTATTATTTCAAGATAACTGTATTAATAATAATAATAATTAATATATTTATCATATCTCTATATATGGTGATATATTAATAAACACACGTATAAAGTTAAATGGAAAATGATGTGCAAATCTGTATTATATTGGAATAGTTATCAGTCAATCTATAGACTGTGTGTGTGGTTATATGTATATATGTGTCTGTGTGTGTATAATATAATAATATATATTGAGTGTGTTTGTGTGTATCCTTGTTTGTATTATTAATGATAAATTAACTGGTAACACACTGTCTACTGAATAAGTGCAATGTGTGATTTCTAGTGTATTTTAATATGTAATATGTGTGTACACATTGTGTGTGTGTTTTAATATATAATGTGTGTGTTTTAATACATAATGTGTGCACATATTGTGTGTGTGTGTTTTAATATATAATGTGTGTGCATATTGTGTGTGTATTCTTATATATTTGTATGTGATGATTGAGATAGACTTGACCCTGTCACACTTTGCTAGCTGTGTAATTACTACCTGTACATACATATCATATATGTGTGTGATAGGGGAGCTGTTCATGCAATATATTTATTTAGTGACTATAACATAAGGATGGATTTTCCTGTCCCCGCCCTGTTGTAATAAGAAGAGTATATTATGAGCAGTTTATAGAGCTATGGTTTTATTGGGAGCTGGGGACACAGCTACTGCTACCACATTGCAGTCACAGAACACACACACACACCTCACCTGCAACACAATATACACAATGTGAGTGTGTCTACACACCATTCCCCAAATGTTTTTACTGATTGGAGATTGTGTATCAAATAGCAACATTCGATTTACAGCTCTGTCTCTGTACAAAGATTTATACTAAAAAAATACAATAACACAAATGATAAAAACATGTCCGTGTGTGCACATTTTTCACGTTTGTATACGGTTTGCAATTGTTTCTAAAATGATTTAGATGACACAAATGAGGTTCTTAGCTATTATTATTTAGGTATGTAATAGTTTGCTACGTATATTACAATCGGGTATATTTATTATTATGAGGTAAGGGCAGAATACTTCCATGAGACCAGCTGTTAAGTAATGTGTGTGTGTGTGTATGAAAACAGTGTATCTTGTGTTTTGTGTGTGTGTATATATATTATTTTGTATTTATTTGTTTTCATTTTTTTTAATATGTATTAAAGATTTAATGTGCATGATCTATAATACATTGTTCCAGAAAACAAATAATCAGTTTTCATCCCTAGAGCTGATTCAGTAATCCTGACATTAAACTTATATCCTGTAATCATTGTAACCCCCATCGCCCCCTTTTACCATTTAATAAATAAATAAATATGACAAGTGATCCCTTTCTGTCTAAGGATAGTCGGTCCTCATTCAGTCACATAGCAGCGAGTTTTTACTCCATGGGATATTGAATGCAGAAGCCAAGCCCAGTATGTGCCAGTGTGTGCACCACTCGCTGCCATAGGAACCAGCATATCATTTGGGTAAATCGCCCCTTAATTGGTTTAATTGAAACTTGCAATCCCTAAAGTAAATGAGCAGGCTTTCTATACCCTCCCAGACTCCGGTTCCACTTTCCTCCTGTTAACTTTCATTCTACAACAGAACAATGGACAATTTCACTTTGAAATAATTCCTTTTTTTTTCTCCCTTCCTTTCTTAATAGAAGTAAGATTAATCCTTGTCTTAATCAGGAGTGAAATACACATTCAATCAGGAAATTAGCTATTTGTGGTTATGGTTAGCCTTTTTCGCCTGTTTTGTATCCCTTTTTTTCATGTTAAATTAGAAAAGTTCTACCTAGTATTTTGATATAGTAAATGCTTCTTAGTATATATAAAATAATAATATTCTAAGCATGCAAAGCAGTGACTGCATTGTTAGAATATCACACTGGTACAAATACATTAGACCATGTAAATCGAGCAGATCCTTGAATAACTGGCAATAGGTAGGTGTGCCACCCTGGTATGGGCTAAATGTAATGACCATTAATTGCATATTGTCCCATGATGTGACTTCAAAGCTTCTAGCAGTTTGGTGTAAGGTATGCTTTGAGTGTGCTGTGTTTGCACAGGAGGCCGGTGGTCTAAGGATGAACTTTATTGTATTCTGTGCCTATATTGTACAGTTTGTTTATTGTCTCATACATTTCTCCACCAGCCTCCATTATTGTTGGGGGATCACAATCTCTTTAAATCCTTTAGCCCCGCATGGGGTAATTGGAGGTTAATGAAGGGGATCACAATATGTCATTTAACACGTTATCAGCTATTGCTGGGTATATTGTTAGGAAATGTTATTAACCCCCCCATTTCGATAACACAATAACACAGAATCTACTTGACCTACTCAGCACCCTGTTTGAAGACATCCTAAATATAAATAAGAAATCTAATATATATATTTATGTGCACCGTATTCCAAATTACAGACAAATCTAGTTATAAATATGATTAAAATAAATAAAACGCCTTATTGTATTAGGTTGAAAAGAATAATAGTAATTATATTCCTGTTTTTTATGTTGTTGTTGTTGTTGTTGTGTTTTTATCCTTGTATTTATATATATATATATATATATATATATTTTTTTTTTTTATCGTGTACATTTTCATAGCACATAAAACATCTACAGTTTTTAAAAAAGCATTTCTTAAAATATTAGTTTAGCAAATAACTGTATAGCTTTGAATTACTATATATATATAGATAGATATATATATAATATATTTGTGTTGAAATTAAGCACTTCACAGTATTTTAACACTGTGTAGGAAAGACATACTCAAACGTCAAGTCTGTTTTTTTTGTTTGTTTGTTTATTTTTTGCTTTTAGAAATCAAAATATTTTCAATTACAATTACATTTATAAAATTAAATCCAAGTTGAACAATTTGCATTATTTATTAACCATTATTTTAAGACCATTTTGACTGAAACCAACCGTTGTATAAACCATGCAATAAATTATGGATATAGGGGGTGGACAATTCATAAAACATAAGATAGAAGATTTAAAAAAAAAAAAAAAATTAAAAATAAAAACCACCAATAAAAAAAAGCCCTTGGTCTAGCTTATCCCCTGGTATGGGATACTTCCCACTCCTCTATATCTATATTTGGGGAGTCATCTGGGGAGTCAGCCAGTCTAAGGAGGTCTGACCCCAGCAAAGAGAGAACTGAACTCTCTAAAACTTTTTTTGAAATGACCTATGTTTTTCACTTAACACTTATCTCAAATAATAATTTAAAAAAGCACATCTCCTATACACCAAAACGAAATAATTACTGTGGGAAATGTTACTGCCAAGAATGGATATTTTTGATTTTTAACCACATGAAAATTCTGTCTGCGAATTATCCTTACAGTACCTTCCTTTTGAAATAATAGTAACAAATATAACATAGAACCTATAAGAGACTAACTTACAGCCACCAAGTGAAGCGACATGTTTACATCTGAAGGAAGGACTGAGGTTTTATGTAACTTTTTCACAGCAGAATTGCCCTTGATAATGTTGGAGTATATTTATGAAAATGCATACAGAGATTCTTCATCGAATAAATTCAATTTCAGCTTGGTTTTACTGCAAGAATAAAAAAAATGAAATAGAAAAAAAATAAAATAATTCGAAAAAAAAGCAAACAAAACTCTCTTGTAAACTAGCCCTAAAGAAATCGATAGACATTGAGCGATATATACAGAATAAACATTTTAAATACAAATTTCTGCATCTCTGTTGACCTCTGTGCTATATGTTACAAGGAAAGATCACACCAAATCTGCAGGTTCTTTGTGTGTTTAAAATAACATATGTATATTCTTCTGTTTTAATACAATATTTAGGTAACAGTCCTCATTCTTAAAAAAAGAAAAACGTTTAACATGGATAAGGTAAATGTTACTTAATTTCCATTGAATTGTATTATTTCAAGTCTTGAGGTGGTTGGGAAGCAGATTAAGAGGTGTTTAGGACTGGTCTATTATACACCCCTTGGTAGTATGTGGGTTCCAGGGCTGAGGGTTCAATGCCACCCCTTCCAGACATAGAAGTACTGCCTAGGGACATAGCAGGAATAGGTCCCCCATAGGATGAATACTGCTGGAGAGCCTGCTCATAAGCTTTGAAGTCCAGTTTGTGTTGCTGTTCAGAAGAAGACATTAGGTTGTTGATGGAGAAAGGATGATTGAAAGAGTAGTGAGGGTCTCCTTTCATGTGAATGTGGGAGTCGTGGGTCAAGTGGGAGGTATGGGCTGGGTGAGAAGATATAGGTGATGGTCCAGCTGTCACCTGGGGCTTCATCTCTCCATTAGGACCACCATGTTCTAGAGAATGTGGGCTACTGGAAGGATTGGACATGGAAGAGCTGTTTTCCATTTGGTTGGACTTACTGTGTACACGGTGTAAAGGAGAGGAAGGACTCGAATGGTCTTTCCTGCCATCTTGGGACCCCTTACCTCCTTGTTGCTTCTCACATTTAAATCGCTTTTGTCTGCGGAGATAGCAGCCGTTCTCAAACATGTTTCCAGAGTCAGGATGCAATGTCCAGTAAGAGCCTTTACCAGGCTTATCTGGGGATCTGGCCACCTTAACAAAGCAGTCGTTAAAGGACAGCGAGTGCCTGATGGAGTTTTGCCACCTTTGCTGATTCTGCCTGTAATAAGGGAACAAGTCCATGATCCACTGGTAGATCTCACTGAGGGTCAACATTTTGCTGGGGGCCTGTTGTATGGCCATGGTTATCAATGAAATGTATGAATAAGGGGGTTTAGCGTGCGGGTAACTTCTCCTGAAGGCTTTGGTGTCTCTGGTCCTGTTGATATTGGAAGGTGCATAGGCCATTGGGCTCATCCCAGGGTTCATACTGGAATATGGACTCAGACTGTTCATAGAACCTTGAGGGGCGTTCATGGCATTCATGCTGGTGGGACTCAGGGCAGTTCCCATGGTTGGAACCCCAGAACCCATTCCATTCATTGCACCACCGGACCCGGCACTCATCCCACCCATTCCATTGGGGCTCAGACCTGCAGGTAGCCCAGAATTGGCATAGGACATGTTGAAAGAACTCTGGGCCATGTTTCCACTGGAGCTCATGGGATTCATGGTCATATAGCTGTTCATGGTAGCCAGCCCTTGTGTCATGTTACTGACAGGGACTGAGGAATAGGCCTGTAAAGACACAAGATAGGGACATTTAGACACACATTTCATATGGTCATATTACACGCAGGCTTTGCAGAATATCTCAAAGTTTCCTGAAACTAATTCTGATTCATGTGATCATTATGCCCTTGAGTCTAACTGTAAATATCTGCGAATTGATAGAACACTCTTTAACCCTTCTTGAGCCACCACGGTGTGCCAATCACCAATGCTGCATAATAGATTGGAAGCGACTTGATTAAAATGATTCATTTATAAAAGTATCTAAAGTATATTTATACCAAATACTGGCATTTTGTAATATTATTAGTGACAAATATTAGACCATAATTCTTAATGGAACATTGAGTAAATAAATAATATAGGAATGCACTAAATGGAATGGATTCATTTTTCTGTCACTACCTGTCCTTTAAACCTACAGATTATTCTTCCAATAAAAAGCCATGATTCTGATATTTTGTACAGAGGGCATTTTATAATATTCTATCTAGAGATATTTCTAATTTATTCTCTAAAGCGAGGAATCCTAGAATTACGATCAGATCCACCGATCGCCAATAAAAGGAATCCTGTTTAAAAACTCAGTTTGCTAATAAATACAAAGTATGTAGATTCATTTAGTGTCAGTGCCCCAAATTAAACACAAGATGTTTCTCTCATGCATTTAAGGCACTTGTAATACAATGAGTTTGTCGATTTCCCATCGTTCCAGACCCCAAAAGACGCCTAAATATTGACTGTACACAATGTAATCATTGATGGATGTGGAGATAGGGAGATAAATGGGATTCATTCTGGGTTCATTTCCCATTGTATTACAAGTGACAGAGAGAATGCTATCTCCGTGCAATCGGTACTAAGACAGACACTAACTGAGAACTGTCGGAAATTGATGGGGTGACTTTAAACTCCAGGCCAAATTAGCCGAGCTGGAACAAAAACTAGATTTTAGGATTATTCCATTTCAGCTACTTTGGCCTTATCCCTTCCCAAGAATGCCTGGTCTGGTGAATAACTCTGAAAAACATATCTAATATCCTGTAGTATTATAGCCTGGGTCATTTTATCGTTCTGTTAATTATTCTATCTATCTATCTATCTATCTATCTATCCTTTAATCACACTGCTAATTTTCAATACTAGAAACATTTAAGAATTAATTTTATACTGTGTATAAAGGTACAGCAAACGTTTATAAAATAATAATAATAATAATAATAATAATAATTTGGCGAAGAGAGCGTTTTCTGCGTGTTGTAAGATCTCTATTTTACGAAATACCGTGACTCACATAATTTGAGCCTTCTTCGTGCTGATAAAAATCTCCCTTTCAGTCTAAAAGGTCTCTCCTAGTTTTTACTTCCCATTCTAAATTATTTGCCAGCTAGCTGTGCCCTGTGATGGCACCAGAAGGGTAAACGATGCCTTTATTAAGTTGACAATTACTGTAAATTCGCAAGGAGAGCTTTGGGATAACATGCCATTTAATTGGATTACACAGAGTATCCCCAGGCATAAAATTGGGAGTTAAAATGCTTTGTGACATGTGAGTACCGTGTCATTGGTAACATACCTTGTGACTGTATAGAGACAGTATCAGATTGCTGCTCAATATTTAGGAATTAGAACACTGATGTCTGGGTAACAGGGATTAATAATACCCAGATTACCCTGAGTATCTCTAAACTGATTATCTACAAAATACAGAAATGTGTCTAACATAATACTCTTTATATCAAGTTCCCCTCCACTTCATGTTATATTCCAGAATAAAATTAAACAGATCTGACCTGTCTATCTAATCCCAGGAGGTTACATTACCTGGACCCCTCTTTATTGCCCAGGTACACGAAGTATCCCCTCCAGGCAACTATTAGAGGGTCCCAACACACTGAGGTGGGCAGCTTTGATGTACTACAATCCCTATCATCTTCACCCACTGGGTGCTGAGTGGACTGGCCACATAGAATAGGTCAATAGCTCCAAGTTGGCTGTATCACCTGGGGGTCACATCTAACCTCTGTTTAACGATTCCCACCCTGCTGAAACTGAAGCTTCATTTCACTTTCTGCTTCTAAATTCCCTGGCCAGCTCTGCCTAATAACACATTCTGGAGAAACTAAACTCTCTGCAGCTATCTCTATTCTCCTCTCATACAACGTAGGCAGCAGCTGACACCAAGTGTTTTTGTGAAATGATCTTTCCCTGGAGCAGATGCCTTTCTTACCTCCTGAGTCTCCTGGTAATAGTTGCTCCAATCTGTCGTTTCATGTCCTTCCATTTTTACAATTCCTAACATCCTGGATACAAATTTCCCGAGTGAAACATCCAGCCCACTAGTCCAACAACTAGAAGCAGGGAAACAAGGGCGATCAGAAGATCTGTAGAACGTTGTGTTGACCCACTTATCAAGGTGATCTTCTCTGGAGTTCTATAATGGAATGGTAGCTGGAGAGCAGGGCTGGGAACTGCACACTGAGCTGATGTGGAGCTAACGTTGGTGAAGGAACTTCCCTCCTCCTCTCCTCCCCTCCCTCCTCAGTACTTTATCACTATTTGCTGCTGGTTGGCTGTAGAACATACCTTAAAGGAAAAAAAAGCCCAGAGCTACACCTGTCCTGTACACATTAGAGTGGAAACTGCACAGCTCACCATAAGGGAGGCTCTAGTTATAGACGAGAGACCCATCCCATTTCTACACAGTAACCCAGTCCACATAGAAAGTATAAACTTCTTCATTCTTCTATTGAAATTGCCTGAGGACATTTTTATCTGCTCTCACTAATGCTCTCTAGATGGTAAAATAAAATATATTAAATCCCAAAAATACAAACCCAAACATTATTCTACATCAGATCGAAAACGTATAATACAAGTTTCATTGTGTGTCCCCATTAAATAAAATTCTGAATCCTGAATATTCTAAATACAGTTAAATGTCCCAACCATTCCATTCATCCAGCATTAAATTGTGTTGGACATGTCAGAGAAAAAAAAAGTAATTATTTTGTAAAACCATCATTGTATATAATTATGGTGTGGGAATATTGACATTCGATATGTAATTATATTCCACAGCAGTAGAATTAATTTATTAAATGAAGCATGGTGTGTGTGTGTAAGATATGGTGTATATTTTGTAGGTTTGAGAAATGAGGATTTTGATGTCAAAGCTTATTGTAACAGTTTTTTTTTTTTGTTTGTTTTTTTAAATCAATTTTGGTACAGAGTTAAAATATAAAGAAATACCAGCTTAATTAAAAAAAAATATATATATATCATAGAATCTACCTGCTAAACTCCAATTCGATTACTATACACTCTACAGGTGATTATTTTTTTTAATGTGTAGCAATGAAACATGAATTAAGTGATGCTAGTGCCTATAAAACTCTGTATACTATATTTAGATTGGAATATGTATTTAGTTTGTAAACATAATATTGTTTGCGTTTCAGATTCACCTGTAAACAAACGAGCACAGATTCACATAGAACTATGAACTGTTTATATACACGCCTAGGAAAAATTATTATTTATCTATAAATACGAATAAGGAAAGGTCAAGACTTATCTCAAAATGTCATTTTACTACATTTTAGATCCACGTTAGTTTTGCAGATTTAGGAACTGTAAAAAAGTGGATTAAATAACTTTTTTTTTTTAATTTTTTTTTTTTACAAGTCTAGGAATGTTAACTTGATATATTTGTTATTTCTAAAACTAATATATTGTTGTAAAACAAAGTTTTATTAAGCTTTACAACGTAAAAGGAATAACAAATAGGAATAGGAATCCGTTTAGATTTGGCAAATAATGTGTTAAAATAGGTTAAATTAGTAAAAAAAAAAAAAATTAAATAAAATTAAACATTTGTCTAAATATTTGGTCTCAACTTGAAGAACATTGTATAAACTAAACTAAATGTGTTGCATATTTTTCAAATAATAATAAAATAGGAATACTAAAAAATAATAATATTATTATAAGTTATTTGGCGTTTAAACAAATACCTTGTTTCTACCTACAGACCGTAAATGGGGGAAAAGGAGCACGAATGACTTATTTGCATATATTAATGTAATTATTTGTATGTGTATTAATCAGATTGTGCAAAATGTAGGTACTTATAATATTATCCCAAAACAGTTGGATTTCAAACACAACAGAGTCACAGTTTGTCAACGATAAATTCATTTTGATTATACAGACTGGAATTAAACACAATCCCAGCCACAAATAATACCTTACCCCCAAAAATGTTCTATTTCATCTCCTTCTCCTCTCCCCTTAGCTGTAGAAAAGTGATACAATAATAAAAAAAAAATGTCTTTTTAAACACAGTGTCACCCAAACAAGTCTATACAAATATGTATTAACTGTGACAGCTTGCAAATGCATAGTCAAATGAATATGAAATAAAAACGAACAATGTATCAACTATTGTAGCAACAGATAGAGCTATGTTTATAACTGAAGTATTATTCACAGTTTGGTCTCAATTTATATTTGTTAAACCCTCCCCCCCACTTCCAAACACAGGGCTTTATTTACAAATAAAAACAGAATACATGTGCAGAAAGGGATAATAAAGTGTAAATAAAGTCTATTTTTATTTTTTATAATGGCTGTATAACTTGGTGTATTACAGTGAGAATTGATGGCAAATGATCTTATAATTTTTCGAGTTCTCCTGAGTAGGATCGATTTTAAAATTCTGAGAATCCTACAGGATCTCCGGTTAAATGTTAACAGGATAGAAACTTTGAATACTTAACTCATTCATTCCAGTTCCAGTTTTTCTGAGCTAGTCAATGTATTTCTAATATTCAGATAAGGGGGGATGGAATATTTAGAAAGCATGATGAAGCTTCAATTTATAGTGAGATTTGGTTATCAATACTTTAACTCTAAATGGTTCAGTTCGTTTCTTTATCCCTTTTATCACCTTTCTAGAAAATCCTTCTATTTCTGACATTTCAGCTTCGTCAATAAAGGGTTAATGCTTTTAAAAAAAATAGCAAGGGACTAACTCATTTGCTTATTTATGAGCCCAAATACTAAAGACGATTACCTCGAGTTAAAAAATAAATAAAAATAATATATTATTGGTATGGATTTAGCACTTTTATCTGTTCTTTAAATAAAGATAAAATAAATTATGAGAATTGTGTTTTGGGTTAAACGTTCAGGATTTTTACAATATTCTAATGGAAGAGCGATTTCAGGAGCTGGCTGGTACAGTGAGGGGAGATGTGGCCTTTAGACATATGTATATCTGTGTAGTTACTTTGACACATGAATATGCAAATCATAGTTTTACAGTTTCTACACATTGCTCTCCACCTCCACTGATCTATAACTGGACTGGTTGCCTGGTAGCATAGACAGGCTCCTTGTAGCTTTCTATTCTGTCTGATCTGTTCTTGGTGGCTTCCCACACATTGGGGCCCTGTAGACACAGACATACTGTGCTCCATCTATATTTTATGTGGGATTTGGAATTATTTAAGGAATAATGTTCTGATAGTTTTTTCCCCTATAAAAGAATCTCTAAAACTAACTAGAAAACCCACCAATAGTTTGGAGCAAGACAATATAGAAACCCTTTATATTTTATATAACAATTACAAATATATATAAAAAAAAACAAAACCCAACAACCTTCAAATATAGCAAATAGTAAGATCATCTTAATCAATATGGAAGAATTAGACTGAAATTAATTGTGTTTAATGCAATAAGGAATTATTGTTATTTCTAATCCCCACCTCCTATAGAATGTAAGCTCGATTTAGCAGGGTCCTCTTCAACCTATTGTTCCTGTAAGTTTATTTGTAATTGTCCTATTTATAGTTAAATCCCCTCTCATAATATTGTAAAGCGCTACGGAATCTGTTGGCGCTATATAAATGGCAATAATAATTATTATTTCTAATATTTGAATAGCAGAGCATCTATTTGAAATTTTAAAACTACAGAGAGATCACTGTTAAATATATATATATATTTTTTAATTTAGCGATAATTTGGTAAATTTACTTTTTCCCCCCTCAGTTTTTAAAATTATTTTAATTGGTTTGGAGAAGCAAAAAAAAAAAAAAATGCAAAGTTTTCATTTAAATTTTTCTTCCAGTTTCATTTGTTTATAGTTTAAGATTAGGAGATTAAGCAGATGTGTTGATTCAAGACAAAGATTAAGTAATTACATTTTTTTACCCTCTTCTTGAATATATTAAAACACAAAGAAAAAGCCACAGTGTTAAAAATATACAACATTAAACCAGCACACTAACATTGTAACTATAATAATAATAATCCATACTAGGTTTATACTAAATTAAAAGTGAGAATTCGAGCTGAATTTCAAATTTAAGGCCAGAGTAGTCAACCGAAAGCATAACAGTAAAGCTATTTTTAAAGTTGAGATCCACTCTGAATTCTCTCTTTAGTAAATAATGCTTTTAGTCTTAAATGTCATATGCATCCTGTTTCCCCCCTCTGCCACAATCCAGGAGTCCAGGGTGTTCATATGCTTAAAACACAATTCTATTTTATTTGTGATCTGAAAATGGTCTTACATCATTACTGCATGGATATCTAGCTACACAGTTGACATCCTTCAAAATGGACATATGTTTACAGGGATTCTGTATTTAGTGTGCCCCATAAAAAAAAGTATACAACATGTTATGGTATTGCTTGCAACAGTCCTGTATTTAAAAAAAATATATATATATATTAAAAAAAGCATTGTCACTTACTATTCTCATTAAAAATGTAACTTAAACTAGCAAATAGCGCCACCCCAAACTGGAAAGGATCCAGAGTGTACTGCAGACAAAAGCTATGAAAAAGTCCCTGCATTTGGGTTAATCTCTAAAGTGGTAACCGACCAGGGACTGTAAGGCCAAAAGAACAAAAATGACAAAATTCGTAAACACCGCTAGATGTTTTGGCCTACAATTTGCAATTCTATGATCATCTCCTGATAATCCACAGTCTAGTGCATAGCCCTCTAGATTGTAGGTTTGTTTGAGCAGGGCCCTCATTAACCTCTTGTCTCTCTTAACATCTATAATGGTTTGTTTCTTATTTGCGTTTTTATCCCCTATGCAAAAGATTGTGAAGCTGTGCGGAATATGGTAATGATTAACCTAATGAACATGTCTTTAATTAGATAGAATGACTTAACATTTCACTGTGCACAAAATAAAAGGTTTAAAGTATTTTTTACATTTTTTTTGTGTAGTTGGGAGTCACGCAAACAAGTTAACATTGTGATATTTTAATTTACCCATTTATTTAAAATTGTTACAATTTATGTGCTCTTTTTTCATGAAACTTTTTTCATGTAGTCTGTGATGGCTACCTGCTGATGTTTTTGAATACTATTTCTCATGACGCAGAGCCACCCAGGCTAAACGTGTGGAAACAGACAAATAGGCATATACTCTTATTTTATGACTGATGGCACAGGCTCTAAAGGAATGTGAGGCCGTTCATTAGTTTATCTAAATACCCTCTTAACCATTATCAGACAAAACTCAAGATATGGCAGGGAATTACTTTTATCATATAATGCCTCATGATGTGTTGATTTATGCAAAAAGTCTATATAGCAAGTTATATA